AGTATATTACGAGAGGAATCTAATGAGAAGACAATGAACATGCTATTTACTAATGAAATAGCTATTCAGCCAAGCTACATCTGCGTTTCCAATTTAAGTCTACGACTTCCCTCAACCTTACAAAATCCTCTGCCCATCCACATCCCAAGACAACAGCAGCGCCAGATCTTTACAGAATCCCCATATCCTAAAGCTGTTTTTCTGCCCCTCTCCCTCATCTGCTATACATCAATGGTCTCATTTGAAATATATATTCTCTATTTTTTCCTCTGCTGCTAGCGTCAACCTCTCTGCTTTTAAATTTTTAAACTTCACAGTTGGGGGAATTACCAAAGGCATGACATGAAAGAGCCCTCCAATATCACATTTTTATTTTATTGAAAGTTACATTTCCTGCATTAAAAGAAGGATTTATATTGTTTTGTAATAGGCTTTGTTAGTTTGGTAAAGTGCAATACATACACAGCTCTCGGTTACATAAACCGGGTTATTTAAAGCATCTGGAGTTGATGTTTTAATTTTACAATTAAAATAGCCATTAGTAACACAATTGCCCCAAATGGCAATAATAAAAGAAATTACAGTCATTTATCAGCTTAAAATCCATAACATGAAATTTTTCCTTATTTTTTACAAGCACTGGCCAATATATCAACCAGTGTACTTTGCTCCTAATATTTTTAATTATTATTCACTTGGCTGCTGGCTCTACTAATTTTATTTTTTTTATTAAGGAATGAGACATGTCTCAATAACATATCATTTCAGAGAGGAACTGGGGGGAAAGACAGAGCTGATCTAAATGCTCATAAAAACTGCCTTCAATTTTTAGATTTGATTTTTTCAAGATCGATTTAATAATTTTGGGTACTTCATGCAGTGCCTGGCACTATTTTTAATTAGGAAAGGATTGAAGTCCTTGAGAAACGTAAAAATCTCTGTAAAAATCTTATCATGGTTACAACAAAGTAAAACGGCTTCAGAACCTGCGCACTTATGCGCTTGTGAGTTATTCCTGAGCTGCAAATGAGAAACCAAGAAAAATCAAAGGAGGAAGAAAACACACAACATTACTCATTTGGTGCATTTGCAAAATACTGTAGAAATATTGATGCTGCACTTCAAGGTACTAAACTGTTTCCTCATGGTATTTCAGTGTTACTGTACTCTTTTGATTACAACTACTGAGCTATGAAGGAAATGGGTTAAAAGCCTACATACTGTAACTTACACAGAATCACAGAATTGCAGGGGTTGGAAAGGACCTCAAGAGGTCATTGAGTCCAACCCCCCCTGCAGGTACCCTACAACAGGTAGCACAGGTAGGTGTCCAGACAGGTCTTGGAATATTTCCACTGGAGATACTACAACCTTTCTGGGCAACCTGTTCCAGCGCTCCATCACCCTTACCATTAAGAAGTACTTTCACATCTTTGTACGGACCATCCTATGCTCCAGTTTTAGGCCATTCTCCATTCTCCTATTCCTACATTGCACTGAGAAGAACCTGGCCTCATCCATTTGCCTCCCACTTCCCTTTAGATATTTACAAACACTGGTCAGATTCCCCCTCAGTCTTCTTTTCCCCAAGCTGAAAAGACCCAGGTTATATAGCCTTTCCTCACAGCGGAGATGCTCCAGGCCCTTTATCATCTTTCTGGCCCTCCACTGGACTCCTTCTAGGAGATCCCTCTCTTTTGAACTGGGGAGCGTAGAACTGGATACAGTGTTCTAAATGTGGCCTCACCAAGGCAGGGAAGAGGTGGACGATCACCTCCCTCAACCTGCTGGCCACGCTCCTGTTAATTCACCCCAAGGTACCACTGGCTTTTTTGGCCACAAAGGCACACTGCTGGCTCACGGCCACCCTGCTGTCCACAAGAACACCCAGGTCCTTCTCCGCACATACAACACACACATATTTTGTCATTTCTGCAACATGCAGAGTGACTGAGTGGTTGTGTGGCCATTTTCTTATCCTCGGTTCACATCTTGGCATATAATTAAGCTCAGTTAAAGCAATGGAACACATGCTTGATCCACGAAGACCAAGAGTACACTTAATTAGAATATAAACGTGAGTGGCCAAGTATTCCCAGCCTTGCATACTCCTAGATGAAAGACAAACTATGTATTTACTAGAGGATATTTTACACCATATTTACACAATCAGAGATGCTTTAATGCCTATGAGCAGCACACAGGTCTTCATTTCGTCTTGTTTACAGGCCTTCAGAATAAGAAATAAAACAATGTCATATATCATGGCCTTCCAGAAACATTACGACTTCCTCTTATTCACAGTAGTTAAGAGTAAACGGAAAATTCATTTAATGCAAAACAAAGCAGCATAATTCTGCTAATGCCAACCTCTACTTTCACTCTTTCTTAATGGCTCATTGAAGAAAAATGTTGAACCTTCTGGGCAGCATACTGGCAAGGGCCCCTACTAATTACTTCTTGCCCAAGGACAGGAAACGACCTCTCCAGACAAAATATGAAGAAATATCAAGAAAATCTTGGCCTGGTGTTAATAGTACACGACTTTTTCAAGCCAGCAAAAGGAAAAGTCATTTTCAAGCATCTCCTTTTTATTCTATATGGACTAATCTATCTCTTAAAGTGCCAAACGGAACAAAAAAATTTTAAAAGCTACATCAAATGAACCTTTGTGAAGTTTGATAAACCTCATCCCACAGAAATGAAAGCCTGTGTTTTTAAGTACAACATTTCCCAGTTCGCAGTACTCTAAAAATAAAGGCAGAATCAGGATTCAGCGATTCTGGAGCAAAGTTTCAAACCAGTACAGTTTCATAAACAGGAATAGATGTAAAATGAAGCATTAAGGTTAAGGTTAAACTCTATCACAGACAATCACACAAGGCAAATGCTATGAGAAAAATGAGGCAATCTGCTTTCTGATGTAGTGATACTGAAGATGCAACAAAACTAAATGAAGCAAGGGCACTGAAAAATCTATTGCCCTAGAACTGCAGTGGAATAACATCATTAACTGCTTATGGTTTTGGTCCTGCTTGTTTGAGTAACTTCTTAGATTTGATTGTGTTTTACAGTTTGCTTGATTCAATCTCAATTTTTTTCACTTGAGATATTAACCAGACAAACTGACCTTGGTTTCCATACATAAACATACATATATATAGTATACATAGTTTAATACTACATCAGACTTTTGTTCTGAATCTTCACTGTTGCACAACTGTTTACTATGTTTTGTACTTATCCAAATGTTTTTTATGCTGTATTGTATTGGTTGACTTGTACAATTTGAGTAATTCACCTCTGAGATCTTAAGTCAAACTTGGGAAAGAGTTGCTTTTATTAAACAAGAATCACAAAATAATTTATGTTGAGACCTTTGGAGATCTCCACGAAAGGTTACAGCAGGGCTAACACCAAAGCTAGAGCTTACTGCTCAGGGCCCAGTCAAGGTTTGTATATCTCCAGAACTGGAGATTCCAGAGTCTGTGAGCACCTGCTCTGCTATCTCAACATTCCATTACAAAATCTCTTTCTTTGTGTCCTTTTCCAACTAGATCCTCGGCCTCAGAATAATTTCTGCGTGCGCTGGCTTCCATACTTGCAGCACAAAACTCACGAGTAGTCTTGAATTCTGGAAGCTGCTTCTAACTGCAGTATCAAGACTGCTAGCAATTCATGTATACTTACATCTGCCAGTAAGACTGATTGCCTTGTCCAATAGATTTTGACCCCCTTGACTGACTTACTTCAGATGAGGGAAAATTAATTCTGTGTTCAAACGTATAGGTCTGCATTTTCTGCAGGAGAATTATATTCATTAAAGTTCACATTTTCAGTTAGCTTTAGCAACAGATGCTTTTTTGGTGATAACTCTTTAACATCCCGAGTCATAGTGGAGGTACTTTCAACAAGGAAAATGGCCAACAGTTCACTTTCAATCACATGCAGTGAATCACCAGATTCTTCTCTCAGAGGGAAGAAAAAAACAGCTCACAAATGATCCTCCTTTGATACTGCTCACTGCTTTAGGACCAGATCTCATATGAATTATTTAGGAATCCTTAAATCAAGTTAAAAATACTAAGATGACAGTGAAAAACCATCTTTTCGAAGAAAAAAGTTTTTAAGCATTTCAGAAGATTTCAGGAGATTGGGTACTAAGTTACTTTTTGTTAATTCTTCTCCCGTTTTTGTTTTTTTTTCCCCTCTGTTTTTATTCCACCTTCAGAAGCATCCATATCCTACTGATTACCTCTCATTTTCACCTGGAGAAAAAAAATACTTTCTGGGATAAGTACATTACATGACCACAGTTTGCATGTGTACTCAACTTTTGACTTTACTGGCTTGGAATAAACACCAGGCAAATGGAACAGAAATCAAATTATACTCCTCAAAAGCAAAGCACTACAACACAAATTTAAAACATGAAGGAATATACATATGCAGAAGGAATGGTTCCTTGGTTGATGCTTTTTCTTCTCTAAATGCATCATAAAAAAAGTTATGTTTCATTACTGAAAAAACATTTTTGCTTCTTTCATGATTGCAAAGAAGGGTAATTAAAGACTGTCAAGAAAACTCATTGAAGAGCTGTATACTCTTAACAAAAGCACTATTATATGACTGCTCTGAAGAAAAAAAACAAACCAACAACAACAAAAAAATCTGGCAATTTAAATGTTCACATTTCCTAGAAGTCATATACTTCTCTAAGCTCCAGTAGATAACAAAAAAATGTTTCTTTATAAATCTCAGTTTTGTATCAGTTATATTTCAAGCCAGCAGCTTGTTCCCAGTTTGTGAACACATCCACATATGCAAGGAGAAATGGATGGCAGTAGCAAGGCTTCACTAATTGAAAACTGAGGCACAGAAAAATGTTTCTAGCTACTTCTCAAACTGGGATTAGCTGAAATTTTCTTAGACTGAAAACCAAATAAAGACAGAGTAATCCTTCCAGCTTGAACTGAAAAGGACCATTAAGGAATACTTACTCATCAAAAATCAAGTCTGGAGCAAAGTAGAGGAACTGGCTGTTTGTATGTTTGTATGATCTCCAACTCAAGGCAAACGATGACAGACACATCCACGAATACTGAATTAAAGTAATTTGGTCCTCGAGAGGCAAGTTTCTAAATCCTAGAGAACAAAACAGAAAATGCACATGAACTATGTTGTGCCCTTCAAGGGTTGGCAAATACATCACTCATTATTTTTCTAGTATTATAGTCGAGAACAAGAGCAACACTCCCACAAAGTACATTTCTGAAGAAGCAAAACCATAATTTTTCATTCTAGTGACAAAACATGTTTTCTTCTACAGAGCCTATTATTCAAAATGAAAGCTTGTTAAATACCTATCACAAACATATGAAACAAACATGACACAAATTAAAAAAACAATCTTCTATCAGGCTGCTCCCCTTATGAGGATTTTCAACCCAGCCCATAGACGAAAGATGCAATGAATCAGGCAAATAGTTGATAAATCTAGAAGGCTGACCAGAAATTTCACCAAATGCCTCATGATCCTACCTGGAAGTATCTTTGCCCACTTTACCACCTGAATCATCTGCTTGCCGGCCAGGCGGTTTAAGGTGGAAAGCAGGTACTCGGCTGTGTCTGGTTTTGAGCTGTCGTATCCTGCATACACGATCTCTGGTTCAATGCTTTCAAGGATCTTAACAGGAGAGGGAGTAAGTGCTGGTGAGATGGCAGACATGTGGGGGACAAGTGCTGTGTTTACAGGGGGCTCAGTTACTGGAGCAATGTACGTCGTCCCTTCCTCAGGGCTTTGGGGTGGTGGCTGCTGCCGCTGCTGTGGCTGTTCCTCATGCATCCCTTTCAACTTGCCCAGTTTTTTGGACTTCCGGGCTGTGAAGACAAAAAGCACAAAAACGAAGTCAGTAGAGAAAACTGTGAAATGCTGGCATAAGCTTGGTTTTACAGAAAATCAAAGCAGAAGCAGCACTGTAAAACTTTGAAAGTGAAACAAACACTGAAATCACCAGGACCTAAGAAATACTTTGCCTGCAGCACTGTTAGAATGGGAAAAGGAACAAAAGAAACATTTAAGTTCAATTTTTATTGCTTTAGTACGCATCTACAAGCATCAGCGTCCAGTAATTTGCATTTCTATGTCTCTATATAGACCTGCATAAAACATCCTAGTTAAAGCAGCAGGTACCCTAAGCATTTCAGTTTATTTGTACTATAGTTTAGATGGATGTCCACTGGCTGTGGACATTGCCTACAGATTTGTAATTCATATTCTGCGCTGCATTTTGTAATCAAAAGAAGCCTCCCTGGCAATGCCTAAAATTAGCAGACCTGAAGCCTTCCTAAGCTTGGGAGCCCTTGTACACACCCTGACTGTGCCTCAACTCGAAAGGCAATCAATCCACTCTGAACAGCCTAATCTAGTCAAATCCCCTTGGGTTTGCAACTTTGATCCTTCCTTAAGAGCCTCCTCCTCTCTCAGTGAGTTCTGAAAAAACACTGTGAATAGGTACCCAGTTAGGCAAAAAACACTAAGCCTCACATAACACTTCTCCCTCATGTCTATCAGCTCTCGGTGATCAGCTTTCCTCTATTCTATTTATTTTTTGCTTTAATGCTAACCTTCTTACTTTCTTTTACTAAATGTTCTTGGAAGACAAGAACACTAGAGTGCTTTCACTCCTCGCAGAGAAGCCAGCCGTACTCTGTGGGATTCATTTCCAACATTGCCATGTGAAGGATGGATATTTAAGTAGGTAGTAAGCCCTGCTCACACAGCAAAATTAGCCTACAGTGTGCTGAAAGAATGAGAAATAGAAAGCAAGAAGATTAAGCAAACAAACACACAAAACATCAAGGAGCACAAAACAAGCCCACCCCCCCTTCTTCTAGTAGCTCATTACTATTCTCAATTTTTGAGCTCTAAGCAGTGTTTTCCACTGATACCTGAATATGGAGAAATAAACTATTTATTCATTTTGTGTTCCAAACTCAATTTTTAAGGATAAACATACAAGTAAAGTTGTATTTCAACACAATGTTCCTCTCCTGTTCAGTGTACAATATATCCAGAGGAGGCAGTGCAGGCTTGTTTCCTGTCATCTACTCTGTTCCAGTTACTCCTTCTATCTGCAATTCATGTCAATTGCAGGGTCTAAGCACACTTTAGTGGCATTGCATTACACTGGAACAAAGTCCCTTTTTGACTTAGGCTAGTTTTGCATGCCCGGACTTCACCTGTGGAGAAACTAAAGCTGGTAGTGGAGTTACATGCTGAGGAACAGGAGTCTTTTTTATCTCTGCTCCCATGTCAACTGGGAGAAAACAGAGATGGTGCCAGTGTGGAGCACAGCCCAGGGTCCTGTGATTGTGTGATGTGCCTTAAAATCAAGCATGGGCCAGATACATCATTTCCACGCTAAACACAGTGCAAAGTGGAGGCAAAATAGCAGTCTCAAATTTAAAACTCTACATAAAGCACTAGTTAGCTGAAAGTTTCCCCTGTACTCTGCTACACATACAGGTGGACTGAATATGAAGCAATGGCTGGAAAAAGTAAAATAATCTTCAGAAACAATAATATAAATATTCACAGCTCTTTCAGAGCAGCTTCTCTCAAATCTATTCTTTTCTAATATGTCTGTACACATCTAAAACTCCTGTCTTGACTCGTATCTCCTTCCAGTTATAACATCCCTTTTTCTGTCATCAGTAACTTCATCTGTAAGTGTACAAGAGATCCACAGAACTGCCTCAGTATTCTTTTAAAAACTCTTAAAATCTAGAACTTGAGAAAAATCTCCTGAACAGATGTGCTGCCTTTGTCCTGAGACTACTGCTGGCGATGGGGCCAAGTAGTGCTTGTCTGCTTCCTTAAAAATAGGGCTGCCTGCCCAGACCCACAGGCTGTGGACACACTGCAAGGCAGGATACAGCTGCCAGCACTCAGAACAACATGTGTCCCAATGCAACAACAGCCTGCTGCTGCCAGCACTTCCTTACGGCACAGTACCTTGACCCCTAAGGATCTAGGGATAAGCTGGCTCCAGGAGCAAACTTGTTTGTTAGGGAAATCCCAGGAGGTTGTGACATAAAATAGCAGTGGTACCACTCACATGCAAGATCTCAAAGGTCAAATAGGCACTCTTGGACTATCGTCTTAAAAACTCATAATTCATTGCTATCACAGAGCATATTGAACCTCGCAGGAAGGGCAAAATCTGAGCATCAGATTGGTGCCATTTCCATCAGCCACAAAATAAAGCTTCTCCTGACATTGCCAGGAGATCTGCAAAGAATGTCAGAGATCTTTGTGCAACACTTCTAACTTCCTCTTTGGAGAGTCAAACACCATTTCATTAATTAATTTGCAGCATGAATTTCTGTTTTCAATCATCTCATTTCTCTGTGCCTGCAAATATCCAGACCGACTGATGCAGGTTGAATTTTTTAATAAAAGGACGAGATAGGCAAATAAAAAATGTGCTGGCACGAATAAGCTAAAATTTGAAATTATGTATCAGTATCTACAGATACTGTACAAAAACTTCCTAATTACCTGAAGTGTTAGCATGGATTACATAGAGAAACACTGACGTTGCCATAATTGAAGGTGATACAGGTGTGAGACAAATGTTAGTCAGGAGAATCCACTGCAATGGATTCTGTTCCGAGAGCAGACAAATAAGCTGACTCTTCAACCTCCCTTCTAATACTATTTCTTACTTTTCTATTACTAAGCAAAAATGCTCATTCACACAACGAAGCACAACTGAAGGATTTTTCATCCTCTGGTGCCCCAAGTTACATGGATGCTGGCACCCATTCTTCAAGATGCAATTTTTGTTCTTAGTATCCAAAAAGCCATTTTACAAAGCTGCAGCTGATCAGACATTTTGTTAAAAAAGATTTCTCCTTACTCTGCAAAATAAAGTGGAGGGCGTTACGGAAAGGCAGTGCAGACAACTGTTAAATTTAATTCTGAAAAGTAAGTGAAAATGCTGCTTTTCCCTATTTGGAGCAGTTGCACCTACAGGATGACGTACTGGTGAGATCACTGTGAGCATTAAATATAGTTCACATTTATCTCAGAAAGGCAAAGCTGAGCTTCCGCATTTTTCAAAAAAAAAAGAAGAAAAAGAAAAAAAAGAAAAAGAAAAAAAAGAAAAAACATCCCCAAAGCAAAGCAAGAACGGCCAAGTTCAGCAGAACATTGGATGATGAGTTGCCAGAGCTATCAGTCACTGAAAAGAGAGTTGGAAAATAAGCCTGGAGGAATGGATAGAGATTAATGCTTGCTGCTGTTATTCATTAAATTTTATCAGGCATTGGTTTTTTTCTGTCATCAAAATAGAACTAAAAATAAAGAACTTTACATATCTTCCATGTTTGCAGAGACCAAAAATGCATTCTTACCATAACACTACCAGAATAAGAAATCTATTGGAGTTTAACAAGTCCATCAGGTACCTAGAGATAGAGATACCTGATCACATATTTTTGTAAAGTAATTCTGCACGTTCTATTCACTGAAATCCTCATGAAGAGAATAGAGAAATAGCATTCTTCCACGTATAATACTGGCATAAAAATATGTTTTAGTTTCATTTTGTTCCGTTATAATGCCTTTAAAATGAAGCTGAGAAAAACATGACTGCTTGACAGTCATGTTTACAGTGAAGAAAACTGTATTTTTCATTTGGCTTCATGCCAGCTCTCTAGCTCAACTGGTTTGGTAACTCCCACAGAAACCAACAACTAACGATTAAATACAACGCAGAGAAGTACATCTTTGGAGCCTGTCTTTTGGAAGTGTTTTGCACGTTTGCTCTCTAATTGGAAAACCAACCACAAAACCACCTCCGAATCTGTGAGAACAAGCTGAACTTATCAGAATACCCATGTGGAAATCTTGGCAAAGCTACAGGGTCAGCAGACAGACCAGGGGGCAAGGCACGTATGAGGCTTTCAGGCCTCAGATGAAGCCTAACAAGCAGTAAGGATTAGGATAGGTCCATCACCAAGATGGTAGCACTGTCACGAGTTTCTTACCCCTCCTGCTCTGTGCTATTGTAGCCAAGATATCATATTATAATCCCTGTATTTTTACATAACTGAAGATTAGGTAAGAGCTGAAGAATAGTGAAAGATGCACTGCAGGTATACCTGAAGTTAACACTTAAAACATCTACTATGATTTTTGTTAAGTATTTTAGGAGGTCTTGCACACTGCAATAAAAACAAATATTGAAATAAGGTGAAGTAGCTGAAAAGTTGTAAAGCTGCACTTTGAACAGGCATGCCCAACAGACCTCCCCCATAGCTCTAGCAATAAATCATACAACAGAGAAATAAATAAACAACACGTCTGACTAAATATAGCAGACTGTTTCCCTGGAAGAGACAGACAAAAGTTGGGCAGACCTTTACCCAACAAGTTCAAAGGACAGCCTTCAAGTCTATGAAACTGTGTATCATTCCACGTGCTTGAAGATCTCAGCAAGAGCAACCTTCACAAACAAGCACAATTGCTCATAGCCCTCAGCAAGAAGACTGGACTTAACTGCTAGAGAGCAGCTACTGACGGGAGAATAGGGTGGACTCACATTTGCACAACGGGCTCCTCAGAACTGATGCCTCATCTGTTAGACAGGTGGCAGAAAATCACAACTGGGAGCCCTCTGGTTTTATGATTGCAAGTTTTCACGCGATCTGCTACACAAGCTGGATCTAGAGGGGACTGATCTATATTCCACCCGTTCCCAAGGAGTAAACACGAAGTAAACACAGCCTCAAAACTGGGAACTATTTTTCACAGGCTCAAAATCAGTAATTTTCATCAGCATTATTGTTAAAAAAATGGGGTCCAAAAAGCC